GCTGCCTACACGGGTAAGTCGCTTTGCTGCCTGCTCTCAACGTCGGCAGCAGATAAGCGCTACAAAGGAATGACTAATAAATCATGGTAAAAGCACCAAAGATTCTGCCTGGATGGGAAAATTTGCTGCTTACATTTGTCTCTGGCAGCGAGTACGTGCTGCCTGGCAAAAAAGTACATTTTTAACCCTGTATGTGATCGTGCTAAAACAGTAAACAACGGTTTCTTTGGTCACTAACATAATCATGGGCCGTGGCCTGGCGTCTTACGCGTACGTGTTACAAAACACATTCATCGGCCAGATGAAGACGTAGCGAGCGGGAAAAAGGGAGAGAGAGAGAGAGAGAGAGAGCGAGAGAGAGAGAGACACGCGAAGAAGAGAGGAACAACGCGAGAAGAGAGAAGCAGATCGACGCGAGAGAGAAGAGAGACGAGAGCGAGATCGAGAGAGGAAGAGAGAGAAAGAGAGAGAGAGAGAGAGAGAGAGAGAGAGAAGAGAGAGAGAGAGAGAGGAGAGAGCCAGCGCGCAAGAGGGAAGAAGAAAGAGCGAAAGAAGTTTGATGAGAAGAGCAGGAGAGCATATGATGAGCAGAGAAAATAAAATTAGAGGATGTTTCGATACATATGAGAGCGGCGAGAAATAAGAGAGAGAGAGAGCGACGAGAGGTTGACGTTTGGACGTCCTGACTGCCGCTGTTATAAACGCTGAGTTACCGCATTTCGCACCCACAGTACATAATGAGACGTTCGCCATCCATATTCCTTATATGTCATGTAATTATTAATATATACATTACTGAACCTCCGTCAGTGGCGCGTTACTCAACATAACGAGTGGCAAACCGCGAGTGAGTAAACGCGCGAAATAAGGCCGATTGCCCGCGAAGCAAGGGCGAGTAAGGACGCCGTTGACCGACTTCTTTGTCCGCCCGTGTAGTCAGTCGTGGAATTATGAGAAGAGAGAAAAATTTGCGTGTCGTTTGCGCCGGGTTATCACCCCTCAGGTCCCTGTAAGCTGCGCGCAATGGCGTATTTTCACACGAAGTTCTCAAATACGAAACTACCATTTAACGGAGACACATAAGCTACTAGAAGCACCTATCATTTTAATATGTCCACCAAGCATTTTTACATTCCTTTCCAAACAAGACATAACGTATGTAGTCTAACTGACCAAAGTTATCGTTTCGGCTACTTATTCTAACTTCTGCTTACGAATCAGCGCATTTATAATGAAATTATTGAAGCCCGCTATGGAATCAAGCGTTTTCCGAATGCCGCTTAGTGATATCATTAGTTCTTGACTATCAAACAAGCTGTTTTTTGCTCACCTTAATTACTATATATTGTTATTTAATTAACGCGTTGTAATCATTCTTACTTTACGATCCGTAAGTGTGTGCCCCAGTTAAATAAAACACTGTGAAATTGATCGTTTCCGTAATATACAATTGTTAATTCCTAATCTGCACTTCGTTCTTGTCGTCGTTCTGCCTTTGCATTGCTTGTACTTTCGTCGACAACCCTCACTTTTCTTGTGAAATTTACCTTCTCTTCCTCCATCGACTGCTGTCAAAGGTTATCTGCGAACCTATTCAGACGGGCATAAAAGACACTTAATGAGAGACGACTCTAACCAGAATTGCCGGCCGTCCTAGAAAGTACAAACCTATCGCATAGCCTAGTAGATCGAGAACCTAGATCTTAAACCGAAGTACGGTGGTCACCACGTGACGAGCAACCAATCGCGCCATGTAGTGCGACAATAGGACGAAACTCGGACGCTTCTACGATTACTCATGTCGCTGTCCGTATTCGACGTTTTAACTCGGTCGTTAAGGCAACATTCTGACGCCGGACCGATGCGCAGGTTTAAATCCCGCTATGGATTCCTCTCTCCCAGTATTCGTTGACACGTACCCGTTCGAAAACCTTCGCGTCTCGCTCGCACCATTCCGCCGCCGCCGCGGTGGCGCGCCGCCGCATGTATGTCATATATATATAACACATACACACGATCTGCGCGCACACACCACAACACACAATCACACACACACACACACCACTACACACCACACCACAAGCACACACACAACGAACACACACATACAACACATCAACGCAGCACGCGCGCGCACACACTATATAGGTATTAGGTCAGCAGGTTACTCGTAGATCTTCCGGTGTCCTATCGAGGCGTGTCACCTGAGATTGCCCGACACAAGAGCTGAGAACCACGACGGGGTGGTCGCGAGTTAGGGGGGCTAAGGTCGCATTGCGAGTGGAGGGCCCAAGGCCAGCTAAAGCTAGAGGATTGGATCTTCTCAAAATTCGAGGGTTGAAAATGGCATCTATAGCGTTTTAAACTGGAGATAATTGCTATGCATATAAACGATTGACATAATATATGATACGTACAGATAAATCAGCCCATCATCCTGCTGATTGTTTTTATACGTTACTGCAACGCGCGTAGCACTGCAAATAAAAAGTGATTACATTTTCTTCGTAGAACGATTCCCTGTCGAGTTACTTATGTTTCCCGCCGCCGGTCGATGCTGTATTTTCACTTAGCTCTAGTTCATTTTTTTATTTTTTAGTTTTGTTTGATAATGTGAAGAGCTCTAGAGATGGCACCTTTCCAGATCGTCGATGCGCCGTCTATTGCAGTCCGCAGACGATCAGCAAACTAATTCACTTAAAAAAAAAAAAAAAAGAAAAAAATTATGACACCCCTATATGATATATATACCCCAGACCTCCCGGCTGACGGCATGCTGAACGTTGTGAATGGCAGGCTCACGCCGCGTGACAGCAGATTTGCATTGATCGCAATCGCAATTTTTAACACTCCATAAGCGGTTTTCGAAATATCTCTGCACTGCAATGTATATCAAAAGCGTCTATCCTAAATATCGCGTTAATCATAGTAAGTTGTCGATGATTCCGCGGCGAAGCTTATACTATTGAGGATTTATATCGATGTTTATCCTGTCTGCGAAAGCTATCAATCTCGTTAGTCCCGTAGTAACTAATCCCTGTAGTATGGTACGGAGACGAGGCGTCGCACTGGCTGTCTTCATCTAATAACGTAGGCCAAATCTTACGCGCTGTACCCATCCTTCGCAGCCGTAGTAATCAAGAAGAGCAGATCGTTAGTAATGGAAGCTTAATATAAGCGAATCTGTGGATGCGTGCGTACAATAACTTCAGATTTATTTCATATTTTGTACTACCTGTGTATAGAGAGTACGTATAGGTGTTTCGGTGGTAATTTCCACAGTTACGCTGGTGGCCAACGCAACGGTAACCTTATGTTGCCGCTGTAAGTGAACTGACTTATGTCCGTCCGCGCTATCGGCGTACTGCCTGTACATGCGGTGACTGGTGTGTGTGTGTGAGTGTGTGCTGTGTGTGTGTTGTGAGTGGTGTAGTGTGGTGTAATTCTTTGTTCGTGTTGTGCGGTGGTGCGCGCAGCGTGTGCGCGTGCGTAGCGGTGCGGTGCGTGCGTGCGTGCGTGCGTGCCCGCGCCCGTGTGTGGTGTGTGTGTTTGTGTGTGCGTGTGCGTGTGCGTGTGCGTTTGTGCGTGTGCGTGATGCCGTGTGCGTGTGCGTGTGTGTGTGTGTGTGTAAGTTAATTGGCCCCGGTGATGTCACATTTGTTGGCGACTTTGCGCTCGTCCCGCGCGACACGTGCCAGCGAAAACTGAAGAGCGTGTTGATGGGTTGATCTTTTGTTGTCTTCGTGATCCCCCCCCCCACTCCCGCGCGCCTCCCCAACGGCTTCCATTAAATGCAGATCGCCTTCCAGCGATGACTGAAGAGCGTGTTGATGGGTTGATATTTTGTTGTTCCCGTGATCCCCCCGTCCCACGCGCCTCCCCCTACGGCTTCCATACAATTCAGATCGCCTTCCCAGGCCGGTGTGCGGGTAATCTCCGCTTAAGGAGAACTAAATCCTCTCAAGTGTACTGCGTGATGATGACCACCGTGCAGTAATGAATACTAAGTAAGGGTCATTGTTTCGCGCGTGCTGCGCTATTAGCACAGGTGGAGGGGAGGGGTGTGTGTGTGGGGAGGGGGGTCGCTTGGCTAGCTTACACGTGACAAGTGGCTTCGTGGAAGCGTCCCGCTGACGTTGGTGATTGATCATCATCATGATGATTAGTCAGGATTCACTGGTTATCGTCGGTGCCCAGCATCACTGGCAATTATTTTCTCGGAACTGTGTTTTTATTCTCTTTCCGTCGGGAGATTCTTCGGACTTGCTTATAGAAGAGATTTTCTCTGCTCTCTCGGCCGAGTGTCGAGCGGGATGAGTGCATGCGTTGTCGCGCCTTCAACCCTGCATCATTATCGTATGCTGTTGGGAAGTGCTGACAGATATGCCAGTCTTCGCCGAAGGTGAAAAATTAAGCCGGGCGCTTAATGTGTCACACACAAAAAACAGTTCACGCTTAAATCTTTTAAGCGTGATTAGATTTTAGCGTCTCCGTGCGTGCCACTCAGCAGTGGTCCCAGGGTGCACAGGTTCTGTCTAGTAATTTAGGCTATTATGTTTTCCCTTGTTAGACGCTCACTGTAAATTGCACGTTCAAATCCTCTAAAGACGAGTGACGGTAACTGGCAAGTTAAATGGTTCATTCATTAATCAATCCGAGGCTCTCCTGAGTATCTTAATGGCTTCTAATCAATTTTTTAATGTTCCTCCTCCACCTCACCTCATGCATCTAATTTTCGAAACTGGTTTTTATCAAGGCACCACAACATTCTTTTCAATCCGCACATCATTTAATCATGCACGTGTACAAATGAACTAATTGCCTGGTCATAAAGGCAAGGGAAACGGTTATGAAATTAATTGTTCAGCCAGGGTACCGCAAAAACGAACTATTTTATTTCTATGCGCTAGCGGCTTCATTGTCACTAACTTCTGAGGAATAGCGCCGGAAAGCCGTGGGCCTGACATCAACTTGACAACGCTATCTTGTTTTCCCTATAGGTAACAGGCTTTGGTGCTTCGTTAAGCGAGATCTACCCGTCGATACCGAGCTGGTGGCATCTCTCGAGCACACACAAGATGGCGCTGGCGACGTTCCTGTACCAGGCGTAGACTGCAGCACAGTGACGTCACGACGCTCGTCATCGGCAGGTGGGCAATTTTTAGGAAGCTAGTAGAAGTGGCTTTCCACGCTGCACCATGACACGCTGGGCCACGCATCAGGATTTTATAGAGACATTTGCAATGATTACCGTGTAATAAACTGGCCAGTTAAAAAAAAGGACAGACGGAACAATTTCTGCGATTCTTCCCATAGAATTTTGTGACGCGGTACTAGCGAGAATAATATAGCGGGCTATATTTTCCCCACAATTTGTGGAGACTGCAAGATGATTAATAAATTTTGGCTGGTGTATTCTTTCATTGCGCGATGTTGATTATGCCGCTCCCATGCGTTTTTGACCGTACTACACGTATGCTGTTTGATTGGTTGCATAAATGGAATTCTGTCTGAGTAATAGCGTTGCTCGTGTAGACTAGCATGTATTGCTGACTGCGTTACTTCTGTGTTCTGTTCAATCGCAGCAGGGTTTTCTCAGTACCAATGAGTTACGCACGACGGTTGAAGCGGTAAAGCTAGAGTAGATTTTCGCAGTTTTTCTCTAAGAACGTGTAACTATGTTAATAGTGTAGTGGGTATACGCTTAGCAATGTGGATAGATAACGTACACACTCAAATCGTTTATACTTGATATATATAATATATACTCTTTAGATTAATTGAGGATTCACGACCACGACATAACAGTCTCTAGTTTGTTTCGACATGTTTATGTTCAGCATCACTCAAGAAACTCGTTGTATATATATGCTGTTTAGATCTTGCGTGATTATTAATATGGTGTTAATGACCGGATGTAGGGGTGCGCGGCGTGTCCTGTTATTTTTCACTAGCTCCCGGTTTCGTGATAAATTATTCGCTTCAAAATATTGATAGAGCCAGGGGCTCTGCGTAATGGTGAGCTGTTTTCAGCCGATGTTCATTAATCAGTCACTAGTTAGAAAATATCAAAGCAATGTCGCGCGTATGCGCGCGCACGTGCGTTTCAACGGGCGCAGATATTTTGGTAGGTGTACAACTGTGGAAGCAACTCTCTATTAGCATATGTGTCTGTATATTAGTCGCCGTCTGAATTTGCATGGCAGTTTACATGAGGTATGCGGAGTATATGCGCGGCTGCTACGCTCACAGTAGTACCACTCAACCATAGCTCTAGAGTCTAGAACTATAGCCCTTCGCTCTGCCACAGGCCTGTATACACAGGCCTGTCACACAGCGAAGGGCTATAGTTATAGAGCTACGCTCTACCCGAACGCAGACGATTGGCAGAACACGATATATGGCGTTTTTCGGTTTCCAGTTCTCAGTCTCATTCACGCTCGTTTCTGGGGACTGAACCTGTTCGTGTGCCCGAACGCACGCAATCAGTAAATGCTGAGCGGCAGCGGCTTATGCGACCACGCGCGATCGAGACGCAACACGCCTGACGCATTTTAAAAGGCAATGCGAGCGCCGTGTATGGATTCGTATATTGTTATGAAACAGCAGCTATTTCTTTTACCGCTGCAGGATCGCAAGAGCCCGCGCGGGAGGGTGAGCGAACAGAGAGCGACGGCGAGGCGGCGCGCGCCGGGGAGAGCGGCGGATTGACGCCGACAGAGGGCGCTGTTGCACGCGACCTCGGTCAGTGCAGAGCTGCCGCTCTAACGGCTTCGCTGGCGCCGGGCTAAACACCGCTTGCAGAAGTATGGTAAGCGATGAATGCTGGGGCTGGCCGCACCCGCTGTGCTTGCCGCTGCAGCACGTTGTCTGCTCGTGTTGGCGACTGTTCGGCAGCGGAAAGTGTTTGCGATATTTATTCGCGAAGGCCCCGGGTCAGTGTTTTCATATGCGTGTAATATAGGAGCGCGTGTATATATGTCTTCAGCGCGACAGCCCAGCAGCTGTTTTAATCGTAACTTGCGCGAGTTGATATTAGCCTCGGCTCTGTCAGTGGCACGCAATTTATGAAACAATTTCACGCGACGTGTTTTTCATCGCAGGCGAGACAAGGGTACGCGGGATATTGCCGACTAAATAGGGCACGTGTTCGCAGCTAGCCTGCGCGTATGTTCGTCGTGCGCAAATTCGCTTTTTCGCGCGTTTAGGTAAGACGTTTCGCATACCATACACGTGCTCCGTTCGTTCTGTTGCCGCGGTCGCGATATATTTTTTTTGCACTCGGCTCGCGCCGCCTGCACGCTACGTTGGCATCTATATCTATACGTCTCTGTCTACCGGCTTGTCCCGGCTCTCGCTACTCGTCCACGCCTAGTCCACGTCGATCACAAGCTAGAACACGCTCCCGTCGTAACAGCAATGTGATTTACGGAATATCGTTTTCTCGCTGTTTTTCGAAGCGAACACGTGACGGATATTTATTGCTCATCAGCGAAATTGTGCTGAACGTCGCAAATTGCGGTGGCTCTCCATAACAGCGCTGGCCTGTCATTTGCTGCCGGCACAAACATGAGCAGTTCTTGAGTTTGCATAATAGCTCGCAATTGCCGCGGCGCGGAGTTGACTTCCTGCCGCGATGTCTGCTGCATGCGCACGCAGCGTCCCACACACGACACGTCATACCACACACACCGTTCAATACACACCACGTCATTACCAACGCGCGTCATACACACCACGTCACACACGCCGCGTCCCACACACCGACGTCAATACACCCACGTCATACACACGCACGTCATAACACACCGGCGTCATACACACCGCGATCATCCACACCATGGCCATACACACCACGTCATACACCACCACGTCATACACACAGCATGTCACGTCTACCCACGTCATACACACCACGTCATACACACCATCGTCAACAGCACCCCACGTCATACACCCGGTCATATCACACCCACGGCCATACACACGTATACACCCACGTAATACACATCCCACATCGTCATACACACCACGTCATACACACCACGTCATACACACCCGTCATACACACCACGTCATACACACGGAGCCACGTCACTACACACACGTCCATTACACACACGTCAGTTACACACCACGTCATAGCACACCGAAGCATAACCACACAAACGTCATACACACTACGTCATAACACAGCCCCGGGTCATACACACCACGTCCCACACAACACGTCATACAACCACGGTATACACGGTCACATGTCATACACCACCACGTCATCACACGAACGTCATACACACCACGTCATACACACACATCAGCGTCATACACACCGCGTCCCCACACCCACGCATTACCACACCACGTTATAAACCCACACGTCATACACACCACGTCATACCACCCACGTCATACACACACGTCATACACACACCAGCGTCATACCACCGACGTCATACACACCGACGTCATCACACCTCGTCCATGGCAAAACACCCAACGTCATACACACACGTTCATACACACAATCACACGTCATACAACCAGGCCCACGTCATGACACACCAACGTCATTCACACGCACACGTCATATCACACCGACGTCATACCACCACGTCATATCACACCACTGTCATAACACACCAGCGTCATACCCCCGCCATACACACCGGCGTCCAAACACAGCTCACCGGTCATACAACCAGGTCATATCACACCACGTCATACCACCACGTCATACACACCTGCCCGCGGGTGTGTATGACGGGTGTGTATGACGCGGTTTTGACGCGGGTGTAATGACCGGTTGGTGTATCGACGCGGTGTGTATGGCGCGGTGTGTATCGGCGTGGCTTGTGTATGACGTGGTCGTGTATGAGTGGTGTGTATGACGTGGTGTGTAATGACGTCATACACTGAGACGCGGTTGTGTATGAGTGGTGTGTATGGGTGGTGTGTATGACGTGGTGTGTGAGTGACGTGGTGTGTATTACACACTCATACACACACGTCATAGGACGTTGGATGTGTAACTGTGCCACGTTTGGTGTGTAACGTTCATACGACGTGGTGTGTATGACGTGAAGTGTGGTAGTAACACTCCGACGTGGTGTGTATGACACGTGGCTTGTGTGGGACGCGGCATCGGTGGTATACGGGTGATATGGTCACGTAGCTATACGGGACGTGGTGTGTATTCATACACAGCAGACTGGTGTGTATTGGACGTGGTGTGTATGAGTGGTTGTGTATGACGAGTGGGTGTGGTTGGACGTGGGTGTATGACGCGTGGTGTGTATGACCTGGTTAGGTCGTATGACGTGGTGTGTAGAGGTGTGGGCGTCATGACATCGGACATACAGTTCAAATAGACGATGGATGTGTATGACGTGGTGTGTATGACGACACGCGTTCACATAACACATACAGACGTGGTGTGTTGACGCGGTGTGTATGACGGTGGTGTTAATGACGTCTCCTGTAGGTGGACTGGGGTTGGTATAGTGGTGTTGGTGGGGGACCGATGTTGTATGACGTGTGTGTGTATGACGTGGCTGTGTATACGTGGTGTGTATGGAGTGGTGTGTATGACATGGTGTCGTTCCGCAGTCATACAACCATCGCGGCATTGTGTATCACACCGCGGAGGGTGTGTGGCATACACAGACGTGGTAGAGGGGGGGGGGGGGGGGGGGGGGGGGGGGCGGGGGGGGGGGGGGGGGGGGGGGGGGGGGGGGTTTTTCCGGGGGGTGCGAGTGCAGGGGGGGGGGCCGGCGGGGGGGGGGGGGTGGGGGGGCGGGGTGGTGAGCGAGCACTCCGGGGGGGCGGGGGGGGGGGGGGGGGGGGGGGGGGGGGGGGGGGGGGGGGGGGGGGGGGGGGGGGGGGGGGGGCGTGGCATGACAGCGACGCGGGGCGTCAAGGTGATGCGACAGCGGGGGGGCGTGGGATAGGGGGGAGGGCGAGGGCCGGGGGCGTGCGAGAGGCGGGGTGAATAGGACGTGGTGTGTATGACGTGTTCGGTGTCTAGCGTGCATGTGCATAACTAGACGCACTCGGTCGTGTTCGACGTGGTGTGAATATGATACGTCGGACTCAGCCTGTACGTGATCAGTGACATGTCGCTATGTGGGTGTATCGACGATGTGTCACACTGCGACGGTGGGTGTGTTATTACGTCACCTGTGCTACCTCGCATACGCTGGTGTCCCATCCGTAGTCGTATGGCCGGTGTGATGCCACGTGGATAGATAGCTACGTGTTTACGTGGTGGTCGTATCCGTGTTCCCGATGGGTGTCATACTCGACGCGCATCTGTGGTACTCGTAGTATGCGTCTGCTTCATCTCAATAACTGTCTTCGGTGCTGTATACGTGGTGGTGATAATGACGTGGTGTGGTAACTGACGTGGTGTGGTTATTGAGTGGTGTGTGATTGACCGTGGTGCTCGTAATTGGCTGGTGTGTATGACGCCGGTGTGTATGACGCGTGTGTGATGGTGTGTATGAAACGTGGTGTGTATGAGTGGTGGTGTGGGTACGCGGTGTGTGATGACGTGGTGTGTATGACGCGGTGTGTATGAACGTGGGTGTATGACGTGGTGTGTTGACGTGGTGTGTGGGACGGCGCGCGCAGCAGCAGCACATGCGGGCAGGAACGTCAACTCGCGCGCGGCAATTGCGAGCTATTAATGCAAATCAAGCAACTGGCTCATGTTTGTGGCGGCAGCAATATGAAGGCAGCGGTGTACGACGAGCCACCGCAATTTGCGACGTTCTAGCACAATTTCGCTGATGAGCAATAAATATCCGTCAACGTGCTTCGCTTCGAAAAACGGCGGAGAAAACGATATTCCCGTGAAAGTCACATTGCTGTTACGGACGGGAAGCGATGTTCTCACGCTGTGATCGACCGTGACTAGGCGTGGACGAGTAGCGAGAAGCCGGGACAAGCCGGTAGACAGAGACGTATAGATATAGATGCCAACGTATGCGTGCAGCGGCGCGAGCGAGTGCAAAAAAAATATAGTCGCGACCGCGAGACGAACGGAGCCGACGTGTATGTATGCAAACGGTCTTACCGCGTAACCGCAAAAGCAATTTCGCCGCACGAACATACCAGGCTAGCGCGAACAACGTGCGCTAGTTAGGCGGCAATAGTACCTTGTCTCGGCTGCGCATGATCAAAACAGTCGCGTGAAATTGTTTCACTAAATTGGCGTGCCACTGACAGAGCCGAGGGCTAATATCACTCGCGCAGTTACGAATTAAACTGCTGCTTGGCTGTCGCGACTGAAAAGACATATATACACGAGCTGGCACTCATATTACACGCAATATTGAAGACCACTGGACTCCCAGGGGGGCCTTCGCGGAATAATATCGGCAAACACTTTCCGCTGCGAACAGTCGCCAAGCGACGGAGCAACAAGTGTCTGCAGCGGCAGCACGCAGCGGTGCGGCCAGCTCAGCATTCATCGCTTACCATACTTCTGCAAGTGAGCCGCGCCAGCTGATGCGTAAGGCCAGCTCTGCACTGACGCGAGGGTCGCGTGCAAACAGCGCCCTCTGTCGCGTCAATCCGCGCTCTCCCGGGCGCGCGCCGCCTCGCGTGCTCTCTGTTCGCTACACAACCTCCGCGCGGCTCTGCGATCCTGCGCGTACAACCGAATAGCTGCTGTTTCATAACAATATACGAATCCATACACGGCCCGCTCGCATTGCCTTTTAAAATGCGTCAGGCGTGTTGCGTCTCGATCGCGCGTGGTCGCATAGAGCATTGTTACTGATTGCGTGCCGTTCGGGCACA